TGGTTCCATCTAGATTTCATATGTGGCTGCAATCTCTGCCACACAATAATATGTCAGTTCACTCTGAAAGAAAATAAGCCAATTCCATATAGTTAATGGTCTGAGCTGTGATACATGTCCTTCTCCCACCCTGTTCAAAGGGCTGGCCTGTCTGCAGTCATTTGACAAACGCTATAATGTGTGCGGCCAAAGTTCAGGATGAATGTGTAGGTCTCATTGTTAGTGACCACATGAGCGAAAGCACATTTTTTAGATTCAAATTGGGCGAAGGGAAATCTAGACACATTCAAAACTGTGACGTGTGACACCTCATCAGTTCCATTTTGGATTCAGCTGCACTGTCCCGTAAAGTCATTTGTAAAAAGGCTATAGTTAACCATTGTCCACAGTGTAAAAGCCTAATCCAGGTTAGAGAGTTTAATTCTGCTCCAGTTATGCATTTCCAGTGACCTATTTGCTCCAAAATAAAATTACAGACAATTGGGGGGTAACAAACAGCAGCAGCTGATGTGAGCAGAGCATAATGCATGTGCTAGAATGAGCTCGGGATTATAAGCGTATTACTCATGACAACTTGCCTCGAGGGACCACTTGTAAGGACTTTTTTTCAACAGAAGCTTCCACAAAACTGCCAGCCCTATGACCTGTCCCTTCTCGGGTGGTGGCAGTTCCAGCAATGGCTGGCATAGGCCAGTGTGCTGGTACAGGCTGGCATGGTCTATACTCCACTCAATAGTACTAACAGGCAGGGATTCTGACAAGGCACAATGACATCTGTCTGAGGAAACCCACACCCCTGCATCAGCAAGCTATACCAGCACCCGGGCAGGGGCCCAAGCTGGCACTCATCGGACAAACAAGCCCCATTAGGCTGATGTTCTGCTTCTCTGTCTGCACAACGTCTTCCTCCACATCTTTCTTTGCAGAAAACATTCCTCATGCTTTGCACACACAAACCAGATATTCACAGGGAACTCACAATGTTAAAAACAGCAATGGCTAAAGCGGTGGTACCCTGTATGATACTGATATGGCAAGCATTGAAAGCAAAGGAAAATCCCTGACAGGAGTTCAAAAAGAACAAATATACAACGCTACATGCATCATCTGAGAGATCTAAGGCAGGAAAATCAGACAGCATCACTAAAGAACCTCATTATCATGCAAATGCCATTTATTCCATTTTATCTCACCCTTCTCAATAGCCCATATGGCAGTGAGTCCGCACAGAGGGAAGACACAGGGAGACCTCACGCTGGGCAACCGGCCACATCAAAATTCCTCCATCTGTGGTCAATTGAGTTTGTGTGTGTGTGTGTGTGTGTGTGTGTGTGTGTGCCCCCACTGGTACCTGTCTTCAATCCACCTGTGTCCTATCAGTGATAGCCCTCATATCACAGCCAAGATGCCTAATCACTGATCCATGGAAGAGTGATTATTGTCTAGGTTGAACTGGACATGACGGCATTGTCGGTCAAACTTGTCCCAAGAAGAGGAAAGAGGCCTATCATGGGTCCTGGATGACTCATGTCCTGGGTTCTTAGGCAACAGAAAGTTGAGTGTTATGTGTTATGTGACTCCAGGTGCATGCTGGGGCTCAAAATACATTCAACTGCTGGTTGATGTAGATTACAAATGATAAATATAAAAATAACTGTTTTGAAATATAATTGATGGAGTAAATTGAGAAATTATGTTAAAAGATCAGCATCAAGTCAAAACAGGGAAAATAATTAGAATTGACTGATGTCAACCTGTGTTACTGAAATTCCATACAATCTGATAATACTCTGTCCTACTATGGGGACTTGAAATGCACATTAAAGCAAACCCCAAAAATTATGCATTCACCCTGTGAACCAATCAGCAATAAATACTGTAAATCATTTTTATTTGTGCACTAAGCAAAACCTGATCAGCAGTGTCTGAGATACGGTGGGTGGACAAATGGGACAGACGGAGACCAGTCCTTGGACTTTCTCTGATTTCACTGTGCAGGACAAATCATGCATCTTGACAGAAACCAGACATACAAGATAAGCACTTTTCATGCTGTCTGAAGCAATCACTTTAGAGAGAATTAAAGAGCTCAGTGATTATGATGAGAGTCTATTAAAGTAAAATAGCACTGTAATCAAAATGATTTAGAGATCTGGGGTGTGATGCAACACCCTCCAGTGCAAACAAATACATGCATGCATGCATGCAGGTGCATGTACATACACACAGACATTCGCACGCATGTGCATTCAATGAATAAACATTTCTGATGCAATTAACCAACAGTTGAGCAATGTGCACGCTACACGCGTGAACATACGAGTGAAAAATACACATGGGGGAAACTGAAATGGAGGGCACTCTACACAGCCTGAAGACAAGAATTAGAAAAAAAGTGGGAGGAGGGAGCAGCTGCTCAGGCATACGAAAAAAAAAAAGAACTCCAGAAATTAATTGCTGCAGATGAGGCAGCGTACATGATATATATCAGAAATTTTATTACTGTAGTTTGAATCTACTCTTAGTTCCAAAGCTAGGCACCATCAGGGAATTATGTTCATGTCTGCTTCAGTGAACCACAGAGACCGTTACAGACCACATACTCTTTCCTCTCTGCCACCCAGTCCAATAAACCAAGGTCATATTACTTCAGTCTGCAAGACTCTTCAAAAGAACAACATTTAGCACGAAATTCAGCAACTAATACAAATCAGCCAATGACTAATAATTAATGCCTATCACGCTTAGGCTCCAGAAGTTGACCTACTACCAGTCCAATGTAATAAAGGTCTGACTGATTGCATAATTTCAACAAACAGCCAAAAGTGGTTCTAAAATGGATCATGTACTACATCACGCTCCACTGTAGGCCACTGATACTCCCTCAAAATGTAGATTCGCCATTGTCAAAGTTCAACATGTATAACAAAACACACATCCATGTCGATATTTCCGGGGGCCAGTGATGCAAAGGCTGACAGTCTGGGGTTCATATATTGTGTTTCATCCAACTTAAATGGAGTGACACATCATGCTCACCTCCCAATTTTTTGCCTGTCAGTCATTTCTACTGCAATGAATAAAGCTCTGCACCAGTACAACCTGTCACTCTGACACTCAGACGCTTAAAAAAAAGACTTCACGTCACTATTCAGGTGGAGCTGGGGAGGAATTCCTCTGTCTCGTTTGATTTTTCTGTCTAATGCTTCATTTTATGTGGGCTCTTTGTTATCTCCCTGAAGGGGGAATCACATTTTAATTAGGTCTATCCTTGGTTAGCAGTTCATCTTCGCATCTCCCTGTCCTATGTGCTCATCCTATGGGCTTTGCTTCCTTGTCAGAGACTCTTAGTCCCCGCTCCCTGTCACAATCTAACATCTCCCCCATCTTGTGCCATCTTTTCATTCTTTAACTGCTCCATCTCCACTCACAATCTTGCTCTCCTGCTGCCAACAACAAAGAGCGCCCTGTCTGACAAAACCTGTTTTCTGCAGACGGTAAAAACACAATAAAGAGCCACAACAATAGAAAAAAGGGAAAAGAAAATGCATATATAACACATCCTAAGTGCAGAGAGCAAATGGAAATAGTCAAGTGTTGGCTCCTGGGCTATAAACAGCTCACCTGTAAATGAGGTGACTGAATCCATCTAATAAATGGATAAATAATATCTGACCTCTATGGAGCCAGAGGAAACTGCAATATTGGTAGGACTTATCCCTGCACACTCACCACCCCCTCCTATCCTCAAATTGGTGTCACTAATTGACATTAAACAAAAATAAACAATAAACATTTGCAGTAGAGATGAATGCATTCACTAATGAGATTCAACACAACTGTCTTGTAAAGATTCAATGCATGACAACGCTAAGATACTATACTAATAATAGAACTTTGTCACCTGCTGTTTTGGTGTGACGGTGACACATTTTAGCCTTTGATCCTGCAACGTTTTGCAAAAAGGTGCGCCTTTTTTCTTCCTCACAGAAAAAAAGCCAGTAATCTCTCTGCACTCATATTTACAGTCCCATTGACAAAGGGTACATCTGTGTGTTTTTCCAATGACAGTGTGACAAAGTAACTGTCAATGCTGATCAACAACCCTATCAAGCCCTTGCTGACACATGCCACATTTTGTACGCCTTATTGCTTTACCCAGAAACATGCATGCTTTGGAGATAACGCAATACATTAATGCAACAACCTAATGATATACAAATATAAGGAGAAGGGCAAGACGTTGTAGATGTGAACTATCAGCATGTAAAAGTGTTTAATCCAGAGAGCGGTGCAATGCAAAATACTATAATGACTGGAAATGCACCATGTGAATCACTTATCGTAGTGTCTTACAAGACAGGTAATGGATTATGGTTGGCAGCTTAAGGCAGCGAAATTGTTATTATGATACGCAGTCACAGCTTTGGCTATGACTTTTTTTTTTAATATGGACCTATGCTGAGGCCATCAGTGCTCAGGCTGTGGATTGATTACTGTGCCTAGAAATTATGGCTCCTGCAGACCTAAGCTGCAGTGAAACTTGGGTCCAGCTAGCGGCAAGGAAATGCTTAGAGTAAACACAGTGTTGTCTGCACAGATGTCATGGTTCAGATTTATTTAGAGGGCAAATGCTCCATTAGTTGGGCTTTTTAATTAGCACACTTGTGAGAGAGGGTCATTAAGGATGTCTGACAGAGGACCTGCTGATGAGGAGGATGGAGACTGCTAAATCCAGCCCACACACACACCTACACACGCACAGATCTGCTTAAAAACCAATAACATTTCACACAGTCATCGACAAACACAGCAAGTTAACGTCGCGGGTGCCACAACATTTCCACTCTAAAATGGCCACAGAGCACAAACAAATCTCCCACAAATGTCTCCATCGCCGACAACACCACCACACACACAAAGAGAGCCTATTAGAGTCATTTACATTTAAATACATATTCATAGAGAACACGACAGAACGGAGGGGATTGTCACCGTACCATTTTCAGGGTGTTCGGTCTCTCCAATGCTGCCATCTGGAGTGGTTCTCTCATAGTGGTCCTCAGGCAGGGTCAGGGGTCCGATGCGAGGACCAGACGATGACTTGCTGCTGGGAGTCTCTGATTCCTCCAAGCCGCTGTCATAGTAGCTGTGCTGAGAGGCATCCTGCAGGTCCTGCACAGGGTTGGCGGTGGAGAAGGTCACTCGCCGATGGGGATGCTAAAAAGAAGAGAGACAACAAAACGAACATCTTCAGCTTTCAAATTTTTAGTTCATGGAGACGCCCAGCAGGTTGTATGGCAACATTTACAGCTCAAGACTCTACCATTTAAGACTACTGTCTGAATTTTGCTGGCCTTATAAAGTTCACTCTTCAAAAGTCAGAAAACAGTGTTAAATATTAAACACTCTTAAATATTAAATAGTCTTTTGCACTATTATTATTCTAAAGATTATATAAGGTAGAAATACATGAACAGAGTGAGGTTATAGACTTCAATAATAAGAGAGAGCAGAAAAAATTTAATGGAGTCCAAAATACATAAACTATTAAAATATCCCATAATACCACAACATTTAAATATCTAAATATGGGGCATGTGTTTAAATATGCTCTATGATACTGTCCTATATCTTGAATGATTAAAATCTAATTCAGTGCAGTGCATAATGAGCAAAAGCATGTACTATACGTAAACCTGTGTTTGGATGAATGCAATATTGTGTTAAACTCTGTACACCCCATCTAATAAAATACCAGGTACAGAACCAAGGTAGAGAAAATAATTTATGTTACTCGCTGTCCATCTTATCAAGAGCTCCAGATGGAGGTGGCATACAACATGTACAGAAAAAATAACAATGCAAGTGCCATGTGCGTTGTTGTCAGTCGTTTTCACAATAATACTCATTGTACAGACGTGAAAGCAAACATTATAAGCAAGTGTCACAAAGATTGAGAATGTGAAAAATATTAGTATAAGTCAGACAAAAAGTTCATTTTCTAAATCTGCCACTGCCAAATGAATTCTGATGACAATGATTGGTATACTAATCAGTAGCCCCAGTGAGCTACTTCCTATCTCCATATTTTAATATTTCCCTTTTGCACAGCTTTTGATGTTTAACCGAGTGGAAAGCTAGACAATATTTCCGTAGTTTAACTAAATAGAAATCCCAAGAAGATCTAAATAAGCCTAACAAAAAGAACAAAACAGAGCTTTGGAAATATAGTTTGCTAGCATTAGAATATATTATTAGATCCCCTTTCACTGTTATATACTGATGAGATTTGATGAAGGAATAAATGAATGAATGAAAATACTGATGGAATCTTAAATTTGATAGCTTGAAGTGGAGCAGAGCGGCATATAATAAATCATTCAAGATCACACCCTTTATCAAATTGAATGGCTTGTAAATACAGTTAGGAGACCATTAAATTTCCTCTTCCAAAGATCAGTTTACTAATGGCTACTTACCACCGATCCACAACAGAAAGATGACTCCTTACAGCGCACATGCAATCGCACTCTTCCCCCATCCCCCCACACACGAGCACCTCTCGTAAAAGTCAGGAAAGCACTGATACAGCAGAACAGGCCTGCCTCTGCTGCACGAGTCAGCCCCGATCAATACCACGGTTTTGTGCTTTCTACCATTCCACCACTTTTCTGGCAAACAAATCCATGCTAGAAATCATTCGAACCATCAGCCTTTTAGTACCTACACACCAGATATTGAGAAATGCTTTTAGACCTGAGGTAAGTGCTATCAACACTGTGTTCTTAATACCTTTAGTGGGCTTCAAAATGATTCCAGAAAACCTGTTCATCTCCCCATCATCTCATCCCATCATATTTTCCTCACTGCACAAAAGCATCCCCTGGTCTTTCATCTAAATAATGATTATTTGAGTTCTGTGGTGCATCATTTTCTTTCTCCCAGCAGTGTTACCACATCACTACATCAATAAATCATAGTACACAGTAAGTATAGTTATATGGTAAGTATAGAAAGTTGGACATCTGGTTTATCTGTAACATTTAACTTGATCTACGTTTTCAAACAAAAATGAAAGATTCTTGAAACATAATCAAACAATGGCTTTTTGTGTCTTTGTTTGTGATTTGTATGCTCGGTGCACAAATAAGAACAAGAAGGCGACGAGAGGTTTCGGGGGATAAAAATATGACATTTGTTTTCTTTCTATTAAACATGCTCTTTGATTGGTGCATGTGCTTATAAGCTGTGTGCTGAGCTGAAAATACAAAGTAAGGACACACTGTTTATCATTACACTGATTGTTCTAATTCAAATTCTGAAAATACTGCAGCACAAAGTGCGAAGATAGACCATACTTATTGAGGAAGTCTCTATAGAGAACTGCTCCATCACACCAGACAATAGTGAGTTATTCTACTATTGTTACTGTGATGTTTTAGTACCAGACTGGACCAGACAAATGATATATTTCAATGGTGCATTCCTAAAATATGATTGGAGGTCGCTGAGGCTCCAAGACTATTTGAATGTGAGGGGGCATTTAGTTGTTTAAATATGGATTCTTGCTTAAACTTCTCCTTAAGGCATCACTCCAGAGAGTCAGCATGTTTCCTGGGTATGATAACTAGCTACGGCTGCAGAGATGGGAAATAGATTCTCCTTTTAGTCAGAGCACAAATCCTTTGCCAGGCCTTGGGGGCTGCAGGGATGCGGCAAGACGGAAGGATGGAAGGGTAGGCTGAGCAGGAGTGGGGAGTTGGTCAGGCAGACACGGACGGCGCTTTGGCTGGAGGGGACAAGCAGAAGGATTAGATTCTGGGAGACTGGAGGCGGGAGAGTGGGATTGTTTGGGCATTGTGGTAGGAGTAAGAAGCTACGGGGCTGAGAATGAAAGAGGGGACATTTATGATGACATCTGAATTCATAACCCCATTTAGTTTGGGCTAAAATGGCCTCATTCATACGCCTAATATTACAATCCCAACGCAGATGGAAAGAAACAGCAGGATTCTGTCTTTACAAGGCGACTGAGACACATTTTAACGTAGTAATAAACAGCAATCATCCACTACCTACCTAGAGCTCCCGTAGCCCTTTGGAGCCCGTGTTTTTCTGTCGGACTGCCAGAAATATTATATACAACCTACTGCCTGAGAATAATTTCAAGCCACACATGGTTACAGGAGAATATTTTCTCTGATACACTGATATTCCAAAAAGCCACAAAGAGAAGCTACTAGTTGGACAATAATGTAGTTGTTTCCTTGATTTATTACTGTACACATGGTTTACCCTTCATTATACAATGGCAAACTAGCTGTCTACTGGGATTAAGTTAATAAAATAGAAAAAAATTCAGTTTGCCTCAACAACCCCATCACCTTAGAGTTGACACTGTGTTGCTTTAGTGCTTTGAACATAATGCATTTGAAAAAACATCACATTGTACACCTACACTGAATGACAGCCTGTGCCTTTATTTCCTGTCTGCAGCCTCACAGACGCATAATGGTTCTTTTTGAAAGCAGTCAGTACGTCAATGTTGAATGAACAAATCTGCCGCTTGTTATGAATGACATCACAATGTTACAAGTTTGCTCACTTGTTAGACCTGTAGTTTACAGAAGATCGAAAATTGATTATCTTCTTCACAGGTGAAAGAAAAATTTACATTTTGTTTAACAAATTTTTCACTTTAATAAAAAAAGTTTTGGTAACTTATGGAAAGTATGCTTGCCATCCAACTGTGTGTGTGTTGGGGGGGGGGGGGGGGGGATGTCATAACAGAAAGACTTGTCACAGAAAACAAACATTCTTTTGGCGCTCTTAGGAACAGCAAGGAGAAAAGGTACACTAAAAGCCTTTTGATGTCCTTGTATTTGAGCTTGTTATGTAAGCTGAGGGCACTCATTGTTAATTAACAGAGCTATTGATGTAATGTCCATAAGAAAAGACATTTGACTTCATAAGCACTACACCTTCTCTCCCTCTCATCCTCCAATTGATTTGTACAAACCAACATAATATAAGCACGCACCTACATCTAGTAGGATGACTTATACCTCACTTTTGCCCCTGATGATGTCTACATATCAGATATTAAAACAATGGGATACCACAACACAATATGACATGACTTCGCTTAAAACAACAACTGGTAATAGTTAAATTGATAAGGAATAATAATCTCAAAAAGATAAGGGTAATTGATGATCTACTGTATGTGAGCTAAATCATAAAGGCTCATGAAGCTTGAGCCTTAAGGAAAGCGTACAAGGGCATTTTAGGTTGCTGGCAGCCCATTTTAGACTTTTGGCACACTGAGACATCTGAATATATATTTTATTTATCAAATCAGATTTAATCCGCACTCATGATATCTCATCTAAAATATGGCTTTGAAAGCATCCTTTACATCAGCTGCGATTTGACACATAACAGTGACGTCACGTCCAGAGAGCTGTTAGTCTTGTTATCTGGCTGCAACTGCTGCAAAAAACATATATCAACCACCTCTGTCACTAATGTTGTCTGGTGTGATGGAGGACTTCTGCACTGAGACAAGATATTGCTATGGTGTGAAGAGTGAGAGGATACATCTCCATTATTCACCCAGCCTGCAGCTTGCTGTTTTGTGTCTGTATTAGAAAAAATGCACCACCAGTTTGCGAATGTACTCACACCTATGTGGTGTCTACAGCAACTGACGCAGATGGGTTATTGTTAATGGTTATATCTAATTGCTTGCAAATAACAGCGTGGGCAGTCTGTCCTAAAGATTGGATTTGAAGTAAAAAAAATAATGTATTTGCCTACAGCTTGAATAACAGAATATGAAGGGATTCCTGGGGCAAATAGCTGTGCCTAAGCAACAAGAATAGCGTTTTGGTGACTATGGAGCATCTCTATTGCCACTGCTGATTTGCACCACTGATCCCTGATGGGACAGCAGACCCCACTGCTGTTGTGCTCTCCCATCACAAGTCCACTGTGAATGCCCCGGAGCTACCTGACACCACTCTGCCGTCAGGTGCCCTGTCATCCAGCCAAGCCTCACTGATTGCCAGTGCACAGGGCTGCTGCTACTTATGCAGATGGGAAAGCTTTTCCATCTTCTCTGCCACTTTTTGAGCAGACTTCCAGCAGAGTTGCAGGTGAGTTAGATTCAGAGTTTGAATCTCTGTCCCATGCTTCCGAGCTAGCGTTTGTGTTTT